AAAAATGTTTCAATGCACGTATCAATCCGATTAATCAATCAATCACAGAATGAAAATAGCCACGTTACAGGGGTGGGGAAATCGACAGATTGGGTGCAGTGGGGTGGGGAAATAGGCAGATTGGGTGCAGTGGGGTGGGGAAATCGGCAGATTGGGTGCAGTGGGGTGGGGAAATCGGCAGATTGGGTGCAGTGGGGTGGGGAAATGGGTTCGAGGAGGAGGGAGAGCGATTGTTGACGTGTTGGAGTCGCGGACGAGGAGGATCGAGTCTGGCTGGGGATTGGACAGAGCCATTCTGTTATGTGGGGCGTCCATAATGGGCCAATGATTGATGAAGAACGAAGTCACAGCCGGCCGTGATGTGTGCCAAGGCTGTCGGGTAGAGAATAAAGGAGGTGGGTGCAAATGGGAGCAGCCAGCACAGCAGGATGGAGTGAGAATCACGGGAGATGACGCTGGTGTGAAGGCATATGATGGGGAACATGCTCTCCCTCTCTCACACGCACACTCACTCGCTCTCTTCCGCGTGTGAGACAGAAAGAGAGGACCGGCCATAGCAAGTCTCACACAATCGATCCGGATCGGCATGCACATGAGTAATTGTTGTCGTTCTTTTCTAGCAGGAGATAGGGTGTACTGGGGTGAAGAAATGGGCTGAATGAGGAAGGGGGTAGGCTGCATCGAAAGCAAAGGGGGAAGTATGCAAGACAGGGCGGCCCGCTCCACTTCAACCATGCTTCATAGAAGCAGGAAGCATTGGAGGTAGCCGGCTTGAAAACTATCGAATTCTGAAATAGCAATGACCAAGTATGTATTAGTGAGTGAGAGAGAGTTCTGAAATAGGAAGGGTATCAACATGTTTCACACAGAGAGAGAGAGAGAGAGAGAGAGAGAGAGAGAGAGAGATCTGACGGGTGGTCACACGTGCCTAGTATGTCACGACTTCCTCTGCTCAATGCAACATTCCTGCCCACGCCTGAGTGGCATCCCCACCCCTTCTCTTTCCGGATCTGATGCTAGCCTCGGACGGCGTGCGCTCGCCAGCACCCCGAGCCCCGAAACAAAACGACTACCCAGTAGCGAGGTGACGGGCATACGCCAGAGCCCCGAGGTGAAACGATGTGTGTGCGCCGAGCAGCGACTCCACTAACTCACCAATAGGAATGAATCATCCATTGGAACATGGAAACATACACCATTGTTTTGGGGTCCCTCGCTCCATAGAAAAGCCCTGCTTCGAAATGACACAGGAACGCCATGCACCACCGTGCAAAAGGAAGTGGAAAAGCACGGGGGGGGTGGAAAAGGAGGCGGACACAGCAAAAAGGAAAGAACGTCATCACTGCTGCATCAGCCCACAGCCATTTTCCAAACAGCGGCCGCGGTGTCTCGCATGGGACGCTCAAGCGAGACCCGCTATTTTCTATGTTGGGGAAATAAAAAAGTGAAGGAAGAATAAACGACCTTACTGTGTGAAAGCCCTATCCTGCACCAAAGAACTTGAGAGCGTGAGACAACTGTCACTGTCTCATACTCCCTTTTCACATGTGTTACCGCTTCCTTCATCAACTGTTCGCACACCTGCCGCACCGCCTTGCATCATCCAGTGTACATGCCATAAACATTTTTGCCGAACTGAAAGAAAGAGGATTTATGCACGCCTTGAATGCCCAACACCTTGCAGAACTCATCCAATGCAGTGTAAACCATACCGGATGTCAGCGCAGCATGATACATTTGACCAACAATGTGCGAGCGCATGCAGCTATAGGAAAGAAAGTCAAATTCACACCAAAGAAAGTAATCCAAAAATGAATTTAACCTCGCAAGAGCGCCCATAGGATCACATATACAGACGATTTATTTTTAGAATTGAATTAATTTCGCCAGATTACGGAATACATATGTATATGACCTTTCCCGGAGAAGGATTGAGTTTGTGAGTGAAGTGAGACCCATGACATTGTATTCAAGTCTATATACAATACAAACAGTTTCGCGAAAACAAGCCTCTAGCGAGGCCTGTAAATGAATGGGAGAATTGACTTGAAAAGTCAACAGTGTTTTGAACTTTTGTTCCATTTGTTGACATAAGACTGTCGTTTCGCCTCCTGTCCCCAAATAATTGGGTAATCTGGCTCTTTCAATTCAAACCTAGGTGGGCATATCCACCACCCGGTAAGAGGCACCTCAGCGTACGATCGAGCGCTATCTATTGTCTGGGGGGTTGAGCAACTCCGAAAGATGCTTCGATTTACCATAACCAGGTTCATCTTGTAAAACAATAGTGAAGTTCGGTGGCTAAATACCTATGTAACACCCGCGGCGGCGGATAGGCGCGGCCAAGTCCGCGGCCGCGGCCAGTCCGCGAAGCCCGCGGACGTGTCCGCGCGGACGCGCGGATTCGCGGACACGTGGCGGCCGCAGGGGAGGAGATTTCGCGATTCTGGCGGCGCCACGTGGCAGCGCATCCCCTGCCCC